TACGTAAAGTCAAATTGCAATTCTAAGGAGAAAGAGCAGTGAGTGGGTTACAGATCTTTGAGCATGATTGACTAAAACTGCTCATGAATCAGATTTACAAGCTATTTGCTTCCATTTTCAAACTGGAATGTGCTGCCTAAGGGACGTACTCCCCCATGAATTCTGGAGACACTCAGACTGAAGACACTCATATCACTGCTAGGTCAGGCCTCTTGATTACTGCACATAAAGCCTTCTGGATTCCCGCTCCCAACTCTGGATTCCTGGTACTAGGCTCTGGATTCCCAGGCTAGGGACAATGTTCCAAAGAACACCATATTGAATTCAAAACATTAACTCTCCTTCTCTCTCCAAGACCTGACGAGATTCTTCCACATTTTCCTGGACCAGCCTCCAGGATTTCTGGAGCCGTAGTTTATATACCTGCAGTCTCTAAGACAGGAAACCAGGAAAAAGACCAAGAATGCCCAAGGAGACAATCGGAAATGTGCAGTAAGAATACCGGGATCTGAAACCCATCGCAGAGACAATGGGAAAAATGATTATCTGGTTACCAAACATGGAGACTCTGTCTGACTCACTGCTTCCTCGGCTTCTGCATGCTCCTTAGAATACTGCAGGAATTGTGAGACGTAGGTTATTATTGATTTCTCATCAGGATTGCTAACAGCAACATCTGAGGAAAGAAAACAGCCCTGTCAAAGTAATAATTATATTAACACCCAAATCTTTCCTTCTATAAACCCACAATCCCTTCCTTATATAAACCACAAAACCCTTCATCATATAATCCCATAATTTCTTCTTTATATCAACCCAAATATCTTCGTTATACAAACCTCAAACCACCTGTCATGTAAACCCCCAAATGCTTCATTACATAAACCCAAAATCCCTTCCTTATATAAACTCTCAATCCCTTCATTATATAAACTTCCAAACCCTTCATTTTATAAACTCCCAAGTCCCTCATTATATAAATGTCCAACCCCTTCAACATGTAAATAGTCAACCCCTTGATTATATAAACCTACAACTCTGGATCAGATAAACTGAAGAAACACTTGATTATATAAAACCCTAAACCCTCACCCAAGTCCCTCATGGTGTAATCCTCCAAACCCAGCAATTATATAAACATAATAAACTTCAATTGTATTCATAATTGATGAGATAAAATCAATATAAACTCCTGAAACTCTGAATTATATAAACCCCCAAACCTCTCAATTACCTCAGTGTCCAGGACACACTCATGGGTATCTATTATTCTATATATAACCCTCCAAACCCTTGATTAAATTCCAGTCTTGGCTTTCCATTATTCTATGTGTAACTTGCCCAAAACCTAACTAGTTTCCTCTCTTCTATTCTTTTTTCCTTCTTTTCCTCCCTGCCTCACAGCAGTTGGCCCTGACTCCTCTATCTGACAGCTCTCACCCTTTGCTTCCAGTAGTCTGGGGATTTTCAGCTCCTGCTCTGCAACTTTGAAAACTATTTCCAGATTCTCCATGTCCGACCCCTGCTTGAGCTCTTGCAGGTCCAGCAGGCCGGGTCGGAGAGCATTAATAATGGCAACAAAAGGCAAGCCATTTCTCCAACTTGTGCTGAAATCTTGAATAGTGAATCCCAGGGCCCTGAAACAGAGTATCAGCCATTTTTGTATCAAACACACTATATATTTGAAAGGGGAATATTTACAGGGCTGGAGAGAAACAGGTAGGCGAACAGGAGGCTGGAAGAACACAGCAAGCCAGGCAGCATCTGGAGGAAAGGAGCTGTCAACATTTTGGGTATTACACATCTTCAGGATGGGATTGGGGATTGGGACTAAATCAATAACTTTTTCAAAGGGTCAGAGCAGGTATGAGGGGCGAATGGCATTCCTCCATATGACTGTAACTCCATGTGGGGATTGAACAACAATCTTTAACCCTGAGCTCCTTACTCGGTTTTTTCCTGAACCCACTGCAGTAAAGATGTTTTTGCTGACATCTTCTTTCCTAAATGGATTGGCGCTTCCCCTCTCCGCAGGGATAATGCTGCCGGCGAAGAATTCAAAGCGGGTGAAGGCTCCTCAAGGCTTTGCCTTGATGCGAGTCCACTGGCAAGTTTCTTGACCTGTTCAGAAAAATAACAAAATCAGGAAAGTCCTGGAAACAGTGCACAGAAAAAACTGTTCCAATTGGCAGATGGATCAAAAACCAGATGACTCCAATTGGAAGACATTGGGAAAAGAACTAAAGGTGACATTGCTATAACTTCAGCCAATGGTAATATTGGAATTCAGGTTCCAGAGTTAGACCTGGATTGACAGACCATATGTTTTATTTTTACAATTTGGTTACCATGGTGAACATTTTCACCTGAGGCTAAAAATGTATTTTTAACAAAAGAACATCAAAGTCTATTGCACAAAAAGTAAATTCAAAGCTGTAAAAGACAATTTGGAAAAAGTTAATCTAAACAACAAAAATAAAGACAGGCCATTTTCCAAGTAATATCCTTTACAAACAGTCAACCCCAGTGAAATATCACTTCTTTATTTTTTTTCTTTATTCATTCACAAGATGAGGGTGTCGCTGGCCAGGCAGCGTTTATTGCCCATCCCTCCCCACCTCTCTTTCTGATGGTCAGCTGGTCTCTGCCTCTTGCCAGGGTTTGTGTAGAATTCCTCCTTGGTCTTGTTTGTAGGACAGTAAGCACTGATGACATGTGCTGATTCCTCATTCAGGTGAGCTGGAGAGTCACAGGGTGCTTACCTACCAGACAAGATATTTTCTGATGGTAAGGCCCAAGTCAAGGAGTCAATGTGTGTTTTTTTAAACTGCTTTTTCCTTTGCTCATTCGTGGGATGAGGGCATCGCTGGCCAAGCATCATTTATTGCCCATCCCTAATTGCCCAGAGGCAGCTAAGAGTCAACCACATTGCTGTGGGTCTGGAGTCACTTGTACAGGTAAGGCTGGCAGTTTCCTTCCCTAAAGGACATTAGTGAACCAGGTGGGTTTTTCCAAAAATTGACAATGGGTTCATGGTCATCATTAGATTCTTAATTCCAGATATTTTATTGAATTCAAATTCCACCATCTGCCGTGGTGGGATTTGAACGCCCAGGTCCCCAGAACATTATGTGGGTCTCTGCATTAACAGCCCGGCGATAATACCACGAGGCCATCACCTCCCCATTCTTTAATTTCTTACTGAACTGATGAGATTACAAGCACTTCCTTACAGTGATTTTCGGAACACTCCCAGATGTGATTCTCTCCATCTCTCTTAAAAAGAAGCTGAGGGCTGTACGTAAAGACTTCTTTGCAGCTCTGATGGCCTGGAGACTGTCCAATTTAAACAGCCCTTCTGATAGGTTTGGATCTGTTCCTTCTGAATTGCAACCTGCTTCCAGCTAACGGAACTAGCTCCTAGCTACACCTCTATCTCTCTTGCAGGGCTGTCTTGTGATTGTATCCAAGTTCAAGTCCCACCTACTCCAGAGGTGTGTGATAACATCACTGATCAGGTTGGTTAGAAAAATAGGTTAAATTTTTTAAAAGTTTAAAACAACTTTAGATGAGTACAGTGGGGAAGAACAGGGCCCTTTTGTAGAGCAGCGGTAGTGTCCCTACCCCTGGACCAAGAGACCCAGGTTCAAGTCCCACCTACTCCATAGATGTGAAGTAACAACTCTGAACAGGCTGATTGGAAAAATATTGTAGATAGCAAGTGGCTTTTGTGTGGCAGTGGTAACGCCCTATCTCTGGAATGGGAGGCCTGGGTTCAAGTCCCACCTGCTCCAGAGGTGTGTAATAACATCTTTGAACAGGTTGATTAGAAAATATCTTCTCTGGATAGAGGACAGGGAAAGCTGGAAACAAGATGTTGCAGCTAGCCTGCCTGACACAGCAGGAAGAATGGCCTCTTTCTGAGCTGTAATCATTCTATTGAACTCAGCTGGCTCGAGCTATAGTATGCAACATCTACAAGGAACCACACAACAAAACTGGCTTTATATCACATTTACAAATACCTTTAACCATTGTGTATAGAGTCATAGAGTTTTTATAGCATATGAAGAGGCTCTTTGGCCCATTGTGTCCATGCTAGTCATCAAGTATCTATCTATGCTAATCACACTTTCCAGCTCTTGGCTCTTCACCTTTTATTTGGTGTTCCAAGTTTTCACATAAATAGTTCTTAAGTGTCTTAAGGATTCCCACTTCTCCCATTCTTTCAGGCAGTGAGTTCCAGATACCCATAAGCTCCTATGAGTGTTTTTTCTTCAATCCCTACCATTTCTTGATTAATTAGCTGTCCCTCTGTCTTCTGTCACCCCTCCTGTGGCCAGAGTGGGTTTGAAAATTAATGTCACAGCTCCTGCAATCCTTCCTTTGCCTCCCACACTAATCTTAGACATATTTCATTTGGGCCATCTGGATTTATCCATTTTCAAGCCTGTTAAAACTGCTGATACATAGGGAGGGGTTCACTCTGAGCTGTAACAAACAGCATCTCCATTGTGTCAAAACCAGTGGAAGTCCTGCGCTCAAACCCAGTGGTTCCCAGTGCTGCCCAGAAGGCAGCAGTAGCCAGGTTCATGGCACCATGGCTGGCTCTGCTGTACAGAAGGGCAGGAAAAAGAGTGGAAGGGCTATAGTCATAGGGGATTCAATTGTAAGGGGAGTAGATAGGCGGTTCTGTGGTTGAAAACGAGACCACAGGTGCACGGGTCAGGGATGTCTCAGATCAACTGCAGGACATTCTGAAGGGGAAGGGTGAACAGCCAGCTGTCGTGGTGCATAGAGGCACCAATGATATAGGTAATAAACGGGATGAGGTCCTACAAGCAGAATTTAGGGAGTTAGGAGCCAAGTTAGAAAGTAGGACCTCAGAGGGAGTAATCTCAGGATTGCTACCAGTGCCACATGCTAGTCAGAGTAGAAATGAAAGAATAGGCAGGATAAATGAGTGGCTTGAGAGGTGGTGCAGGAGGGAGGGGTTCAGACTTTTGGGACATTGGGACCGGTTCTGGGGGAGGTGGGACTATTACAAATCGGACAGTCTACACCTGGGCAGGACTGGAACCAATGTCCTAGGGGGTGCTTTTGCTAACGCTGTTGGGGAGGGTTTAAACTAATGTGGCAGGGGGATGGGAACCAAATGAGGAGGTTAGTGGACATAAAGGAGGTAGTAACTAAAGCCTATAAGGAACTAGATAATGAAGTCAGTGTGACTAAGGGGAAGAGTAGGCAGAGAGCAGATGATGAACGCAAAGGGACAGGTGGTCTGAGGTGCATTTGTTTTAATCCGAAAAGTGTAGTAGGTAAGGCAGATGAACTTAGGGCTTGGATTAGTACCTGGGAGTATGATGTTATTGCTATTACTGAGACTTGGTTGAGGGAAGGGCAAGATTGGCAACTAGATATCCCAGGATATAGATGCTTCAGGCGGGATAGAGAGGGAGGTAAAAGGGGTGGAGGAGTTGCATTACTGGTCAAAGAGGATATCACAGCTGTGCTGAAGGAGGACACTATGGAGGACTCGAGCAGTGAGGCAATATGGGCAGAGCTCAGAAATAGGAAGGGTGCGGTAACAATGTTGGGGCTGTACTACAGGCCTCCCAACAGCGAGCGTGAGATAGAGGTACAAATATGTAGACAGATTATGGAAAGATATAGGAGCAACAGGGTGATGGTGATGGGAGATTTTAATTTTCCCAACATTGACTGGGATTCACCTGGTGTTAGGGGTTTAGGTGGAGCAGAATTTGTAAGAAGCATCCAGGAGGGTTTTCCAGAGCAGTATGTAAATAGTCCAACTCGGGAAGGGGCCATACTGGACCTGGTGTTGGGGAATGAGCCCGGCCAGGTGGTTGAATTTGCAGTAGGGGATTACTTTGGGAATAGTGATCACAATTCCGTAAGTTTTAGAATACTGATGGACAAAGTGGTCGAGAGTGGTCCTAAAGGAAGAGCGCTAAATTGGGGGAAGGCCAACTATAGCAAGATTCAACAGGAGCTGGGGAATGTGGATTGGGAGCAGCTGTTTGAGGGTAAATCCATATTTGATATGTGGGAGGCTTTTAAAGAGAGGTTGATTAGAGTGCAGGACAGACATGTCCCTGTGAAAATGAGGGATAGAAAGGGCAAGATTAGGGAACCATGGATGTGAGGTGAAATTGTGAGACTAGCAAAGAGGAAAACCGAAGCATACATAAGGTCTAGGTGGCTGAAAACAGACGAAGCTTTGGAAGAATATCGGGAAAGTAGGACCAATCTGAAACGAGGAATTAAGAGGGCTAAAAGGGGTCATGAAATATCTTTAGCAAACAGGGTTAAGGAAAATCCCAAAGCCCTTTATTCGTACATAAGGAGCAAGAGGGTAACTAGAGAAAGGGTTGGCCCGCTCAAGGACAAAGGAGGGAAGTTATGTGAGGAGTCAGAGAAAATGAGTGAGATTCTTAATGAGTACTTTGCGTCGGTATTCACTGAGGAGAGGGACATGACGAA